AAAAAAAAAAAAAAAAAGGGAGAAGGTGAGCTGAGCACCAGAGTGCATGCTTTCACTCTCTGCTCGTGACTGAGGATGTGACTTGCTGTCTGGGTTCCTGCCACCTCGGCTTTTCTGAAGTAATGGGATGTCACCTGGAATTGAGAGATGAAATAAACCCTGTCTTCCCCTAAATTGCTTTTGTCAGGGTATTTTGCTATAGCAACGGGAAACAAAGGAAGACATAGCCTTCCTTGTTGTGACCCTGTCCTCAGGTGGATGTGCATACCACCACCACTACCACCCCCAACATGTCAAGCAAAGTTCTACAAAGGCAGGTCTCGTTTTAGCATCCCCCACCACCTCAGGGTAGGGTGACCTTGAGCAGGCTAGGGTCACCTTAGACAAGAACACGGTTCAGCATTTGCAGCCATCACAGCTGAGATCACCTCTTGCACTAGTTCAGTTTTTCCACATTGTTTTCTCTCTTGAGCAGCTCATGGGTCAGAGGTTATCCCCTCTCAGGAAAGCAGGCTGTGGCGCAATCCCAACACCCAGGTCTCTTTAATAACAGAGATCTCTTTTCTCTCAGCTCTCCAGGTTGGTAGCCCAGGATCAAGGTTAACCTCAGACGAGGCCTTTTCCTGGCTTTCGTCATTTTTCTGTATTTTCACACACACACACCTCTTCTCGATGGTTTTCCTCTTCTTAGATGGACATAAGCCCATCAGACTCAATCCCCATTCTCATGACCTCATTTGACCTCAGCTACCTCCTCAAGGCCCTGGCTCCAAATGCAATCACATGGGACTTAGGGGTTCAGTCTACGAATGGGTAGAAGGTAGGGGTGGACAGGAGACAGAAGTCAGTCCAGAGCAGCCACTGACATTAATTTGCAGTCATTTTCTGTGTCATACACAGAGCAAGGTTTAAACACAGCCTTGATTTTTAAGCATATTGCTAACTGCCTCCACAGTGGCAAGGGAACAGCCAAACCCTAAAATATGACTAGATCCCGAGTCTTCTGTCTCAGGTACCCTGTGCATGTCCTCTGACACAATTATACCATCCATCCTCCACGTAGTGAATAGGAACAAACCTGGGAAGCGGGATTTCTCTTCTCACGGCAAACTGCCTTGGACTAAGCAAAGCAGGATTCACGCAACCCAGTGACAGACATAGAAACCACTTATAACAGACTCCCCTTCCCATGAGATTTCCCGGGGTATGCCTGTCACACAAAGAGAACTGGCCACCAGTGAGGTAGCACTCGGGTAGGCTTCATGACTCCGCCTTCCACAGGACAAGCTGATGAACTTTCTGTCCCCAGATGAGGCTGAAATGTGGAAAGCGGGCTGCCTTTTCTTGGAGGCATGGATGTGAAATATTTGTGTACAAAGCTTAGTATATGAGGAGCTCTCAAATGTTTGCTGTTACTCAGTCAGCTTACCTCCAAGGGCTCAAGCTCTGCACTCACATCCTTCCCCACCAAGTCAGGTGACTTTTGTTGTTGTTGTTGTTGTTGTTGTTGTTGTTGTTACAAACACAGCTACATGAAGAGCTGTCAAAGGAAATGGGGGTGTTTGTGAACAAGACAAAATCTGAAGCGGCAACGACGGGAGAGTGGTCCTCAAACTAGCCTCCCTACAGGAGAGGTAGTAGAAATGGCTTCCAGAAGTTTCTCTTAAAGGTTCACCAAAGGCTGAGGTGGGCTCCACTTAAAAGTACACGGATGAAAGAGATGTTCAAAGCTAGAAGCCGGGTGTGGTGAGGAAGGATTGTCATTCCGGACTCAGGAAACCGAGGCAGGAAGAGTACTACAAACAAACAAAAAATAAAGAAATGAAGAAGAGGTAAAAACAAGTATTGCCTGGGCACACAATGAGGCAGAGGTTAAATAGTCCTTCACCAGTGAGTAGGCTAAGGACGACTGTCACCTTCACCTAAGGTTCCAGAGGGTTCCATAAACCCCTTCCTGCACACTGTTGAGGAACGGGGCTCCCAGGTGTGTGTGTCCTTTGATTTAAAATACTCCTCTTTTATTTAGCTGCATGCCACAGCACAGCCTTTATTGGGATTTTATGGATCAATGTGTGAAGATGGACTCGGGGGAGGAGAGGGTCTGATGCAGTTCAGAGCAGTTATTTAAAACTAGTGGGCTGGTAGGGGGGCTCAGTGGGTAGAGACTACCTAAGTTTGGTCCTCAGAATTCACATGGAAGGAGAGAGCTGACGTCACTAGTTGTTCTCTGACCTGGGTATGTTTGGTGTGGTGTGTGGGCCCCCGCTCTGTGGTACCTGACCCCCCTCTCTTATACACACACACACACACACACACACACACACACACACACACAATAAATGAATGAATGAATGAATGAATGAATGAATAAATAAATAAATAAATAAATAAATAAATAAATAAATAATGAAACGTAAAGAGAGAAAGAAAGAAGGGGAAGGAGAGAGAATCCGTTGACCTAAGCAGACCTGAACCACTGTCTGGTTTCTCACTCTAGGCTGCCATTTTGTAACATACCACCACCACCACCTCCACCACCACCACCACC